AGGTAAAACAATTTCCTTAGTCTTTTATGGGACCAAATTGTGAAATGAAAATGAAAAGAAATGTGGGATATTGGCCCAATAAAGATATAAGAGAGTAGAATTACATATTGATGGAAGAAATAAAACAACTTTTATTTTATAAGTTAATTTTATAAAGTTGAATTTGTATGTTTAACAAATCAAACATCTAAAATAAGGGATCAATCCCTTACAAAATTGAAATAGATGAACTAAACATACCTCAAATTTCTTTAGCCATGCATGTTATTCATTGAAATTATTGGGAACAATAAACCTTCCAATTAAGGCCATTATAACTGCCTTAGCAGTTGGCAGGGGCGAAATCTCGGGTATGATTGGGGCCTGAATTTCAATTTTACGAGTGTTTGTGTGTAAATCTAAAATATCTTTCAAACCCCTTCCCTAATAAATTGATGCCTCTTTAATACTATATTCTCTGTCCTGCCCTGTTCCGACCTTCTAATTGTTAGAAAATAATTTAGAAAGGAGACTAAAAAATTGAGAAGATTGTATTGCTATTCTCACTTCAGCTACATGAATTCTCTCTATAAGCGTTTGCAATAACAGTATTGAAGTATAATCAGAAATCAAGACCAAAAAAGTGCAATTAGCGGAACAGAAATGCTGTTTAATTTGAGATCATTTGTACACAAAAGAGACGAATATCCAAAAAGACCATTCACATTGGCGCACCACCATACACGGGTAGTTGAGATTCAACTGCGATTTTCAACAAAATATTTAGAATGAATTTGTCATTTTCTTTTTGTACAAACAAGCATTTGTGTTGCTGGGATTGTGAAGTCTGTTTTCATTATTATTTACTAAAATAGGAACTGCGATTGGGAACTAGTATATTCTTAATACCCAAAGCTGGCATTAAGCTCAAGATCAAGAAGAAAAAGGACAATTTCATTCTTGTAAATGAAGATAATCTTTATGTTTCTTTTCTCTTCTCAGGATCAACAAAAGAATTTTATTTTATCTTTAAAAGGTTTTAAACTGACCACTGCTTATTAGTGACCTCGATTTTCAGATTGATAAAATGAAGAGAAAATATGAGAAAGAGGTTCATATGCGAATATTCTCATTCAGATGAACATTTTTTTTACACTTTCCCTGGTAAGATAACATTATTGAGGAAAGAATATATTCCCGAGTTTAGTCTACATCTATGTCAGTTTCATCTTCATGGGATTAGCACCTATTCAAGAGAGACGTGGTATCCAAGAACAAATCTTCTCTGCAAGGAATTGTGAGACCACCCATTGGATGGACATACCCGAATTCTTCTTCAGCTTGACTCAACAAATCTTGAAATGAAGGTTGGTTCAAGTATGATATGGGGATCACAAACTGCTTCATTTTCTCTCCAACATAGACTGCAAGGTAGCCCTTTGGCACATCCCCGACTTTTGAAGATGCTTGGTTTGCAGCAAATGATGTTTTTCTGATACCAGGTAATCGGAAACCCATTGTTGTATGTGCTAGGACTTGGGAAGTGAATGTTGGGAAAAAAAGACTCGTAAATTAGTACAAGTTTTTGAACTTCAAATGCTTTAGAATGTGAATGATTTTTGTGTTCCTAATGCTTTTACCATGAATATATATAGATGAAAGAATTTGTAAGAAATGGTTCACTACATGAATGATTGAGGGGAGAGGACTACGATATAAGAGTCATGGGACCAACAGAGAGACAAGGGCATATGGTGTTGCCTATGAGGACTTGCTGAAGGATCAATGTGACACTTTACAGTAGATAACATGGGTCCCACCTTCTGGTGCGAATCCCACTTAAAATAGAACAGACGAATGATCTCAAACCTCAAGAATATGGCGTTCTATGATGATCTCTCGCTATCTGAAGCCTTATAATTCGTCAACTAGAAATTAATCTCCAGCTGTACTGTACTTCAATATTAGACCACGTGAAGAAAACATGTCCAAAGCATGTTAACAAAAATATGGAATACCAATTAATGTATTGTATGAACAGACTTCAGGTTTTCACTTAGACACATCACATTTGGTTACATGTGGAGGCTTTATGTTGATAAGGTGGGGGTTCCACACTTCACTACTTTATGCTTGATAGGTGATACAAGTTCTGAAGACCACAACGTGTGATATCACATGTATACACCCTCCTTCCTTTAACAGTCACTTTCTCTAGGAATTTGGTTTCTGGAGAATCTTAAAAGCTATATATACACTATCATTTACCTTCACAAACAACACAAGCAATTAGCAACCTCAAGAATCAACATTTAGGCTCATTCTCTGTAAATTTGAGATTATTCTTTCCAAACAAGAAAAAAATATGGGTTTCCGTTTTCCTGCTATTCGACGGGCATCATTCACAATTAGCCAAGCAGCTTCAAAATCTGTAGAAGTCCCAAAGGGCTATCTTGCAGTCTATGTTGGAGAGAAAATGAAGCGGTTTGTGATCCCAGTGTCATACGTGAACCAACCTTCGTTCCAAGATTTGTTGTGCCAAGCTGAGGAAGAATTTGGATATGATCATCCCATGGGTGGCCTCACAATTCCTTGCAGTGAAGATGTCTTCCAACATATTACATCTTGCTTGAATGGACAATAAATCTCATCACACTGTAGGACACTAATATAGATTAGTTGAGAAATTTTGTTCAATAGGGATCTTCTCAGCTTGTAATGATTATTACCAATTTTTGAGAAATGACAACGAATTCAATGGATAAGTGTTTCTCTTTATCAATTAAAATGTTTATTTTCTTCCTGCAATTAGAATTGTAAACAGTATTAGAAGATTGCTTGGTGAACAAAACAAACACGGGCTTATTTGTTCTCATGAATTCCACAGCTTAACAGCCCATGGGCTTCTGATGAAAAATGAAAACAGAATGATAGGAAGAGTGGAGAGCAAAACAGAGCAAGACAAGTTCTTAGTGGGAAATCAGTTTTTCATTACGTTTTTCTTCATATATGCAAGTTACAATACAACAACTTCTGATGTTACAAGCTTGGTATTCAAAAAATGCATACATAGTTGACTTAGTTGTACTACCCACTTTTATCTACTGCATATTTACCAAAAACATACTCCAAATCACCTACTTTTCACCTAAAACAGATTTCTGTCAAAACAAGTACAGTACAACAGATTTTGTATTAAAAAAAAATCAAGAAAATTCTCAAAGTCTAACAGCTTCACAGTCTAGGCTGAGTTTATAGTATTTTGCTTGGACAAACAGAAGCATCACCTTATTTGGGATGGTTTTGATTTTTGAATAATTTTTAATTGTTATACACATGTAAAATTAAAATTCATGGCCCCAGACCCCAGTCATACACGAGATGTTACCCCCACCAACTACCAAGGCAGGTAATAGTGGACTTAGTATCAAGATTGATTCATTTTATTGCTTTCCTTAACTAATTTTCGTGGTATTGCCGCCAATTCTATTACTAGCAAGAGTCAAATATTTAATAATTTACTTAACACTGAAAAATGTTTTTTTTTTAATGACAAACGCATAACGTAATGTTCATGTAATTCCATTGATTTTCTTAAATTGATCTTATTATATCATTCTTCCTTTATCATCTCTTTCTGCGGATGCATAATATTGCTAAGGGTAACAAAGATGATATCACTTGCTGAATTTTATGATCTGAGCTGAAATATATCGTTCAACTGTGTCACATGATATCTATAGTGTTTCTCTATCTTTGAGCTGTACCAGTACTTGATCCCACCATACAACAATGTTTCATTATCCAATTCAATTATATGTTGCATTGTACTCTCCATAATCTTCACAAGGATGGGTGGTTCAAGTTGTTATGATAAATAATTTCTTTGTTTTTTGACTGGAGACACTGTCGTGTGCAGCCACTGAATTGAATTGAAGCTCCTACCAAACAGATAATGTGCATATAACTACCAATAGTAGAAGCCATTTCTTTTAGCTTTCATACAGCTATTGTTAAAATGTACACTTTATTATGATTAATCCATAAAGTGACCGAGAGATATGCATGAGTTGAAATTTTTTCGAATTACCGATTAATTTATCACATAGCTCTTATTCGTTGATCAACTTAGCAGTTAAAATCCAAGAACTGCTCAATTCTCAGATGGACACTTGGAAATACTTTGTATAAGCATGCTAATCTAGTTTCCTAAATGATAAACGATTCTTCATTTCTGTGAGTCAAGCAGCAGCACTATTTTCACATGCTCGTGTCAGTTGCTTTTACGGCCACACTAGACGATATGCTAATGATGGGCTCTTCATTAATTGAATATTCTTCAAACCTTGAACCATTTGAAGATATAACCCGTCTTTTTCTGGATGAAAACAGAAAGTATCTTAATCCTTGAATGGGGGATTAAAAATGGAATGGAATGGGGAATTAGGTGACAGCCCCAATTTGAAATTTGGGATCTCAAGATGATGCAATGACAAAGGAAGGTGAAACAATTTCCTTAGTCTTTTATGGGTCCAAATTGTGAAATGAAAATGAAAAAAAAATGTGGGATATAGCCCCCAATGAAGATTTAAGGGAGTGGAATCATAGAGTGATGGATGAAATGAAGTAATTGCTCCATTTTCTTTTCCTTCCATAATGTCTGTTTAACAAATCAAAAAACCAAAATAAGGGATGATCTCTTACAAAATTGAAATGAGTATGATTATGAATATAATCTTCACGCAGTTGAACTAAACCATACGTCAAATGAATATGAAATTTCTTTGGTCATGGATGTTATTCATTGAAAGTAATGGGAACAATAAGCCTTCATATTAAGTCCACTATAACTACCTTGGCAGTTGGCAGGGGCGAAATCTCATGTATCATTTGAACCCAGAATTTTAATTTTGTGTGTTAATTTTGTAAAATTTAAGAATCTTTCAAACCCTTCTCAAGTAAACTGATGCTTCTCTAATACCGTAAGCTCTGTTCTGCCCTCTCCTGACCTTCTCATTCTGTATACCATTCAAATTGCAGGGATGGGTGAAGTAGTGAACATTGTAATTGATAAACAGAAACATTTAGCAATTGAATTCGTTGTCATTACTCAAAAATTGGTAACAATTGTTACAGGTCAGAGAATACGCCTATTGTAAAAAATTTCTCAACTAATCTATGTCAGTCTCCTAAAGTGTGAGCTTTATTGTCCATTCAAGCGAGAAGTTATATGTTGGAAGACATCTTCACTGCAAGGAATTGTGAGGCCACCCATGGGATGATCATATCCAAATTCTTCCTCAGCTTGGCACAACAAATCTTGGAATGAAGGTTGGTTCAAGTATGACACTGGAATCACAAATCGCTTCATTTTCTCTCCAACATAGACTGCAAGATAGCCCTTTGGAACTTCTACGGATTTTGAAGCTGCTTGGCTGGTTGTGAATGATGCCCGTCGAATAGCAAGCAAATGGAAACCCATTTTGTGTGCTTGTTTGAAGGAAGAAGAACAAGGCAGAGATCTCAGATCTACGAATATATCTGATACTCGATGAGTCCAGTGACTTGGGTTGTTTGTGAAGGTAAGAGGAAGAGTATTTATAACTTTCAAAATTATATGGAAACCAAACTCCAAGAGAAATGATCATTAATGGATGGTGGGAATGGAGATGAGATATCATGTGGTGTTGTCTTAAGTGTGGTAAGACACTTCTATCAAGGGTAAAGTTATGTTAAGTGTATAACCCCACCTTCTCAAACAATGGCCAGCATACAGCATGCACTTGCAACCAAATGAGACTTTCTCTACTGAAGCCCAATGTTAGTTCATGCATTAAATGGTATTCCATAATTTTGTTGACATGCTTTAGACATGTTTCCTTCATTTTGATAACACAGGTTAATGCTGAAGTACAGCTGGTAACTAATATCTTCATGATGAATTATAAGGCAAGTGATAACTATATAGATTATAGACCATGCATTATAATTCCTGATGTTACACTTCATTTTATTTCAAGTGGATACACTCCTGAAATTGGACTTCTATTAAGTATTATCTATTGTACCAAATTAGGTTGATCCTTGAAAAAGTCATATAGGACATCACCACATGCCCTTGTCTCTCAGTTGGTCTCATGACTCCTATCTCATAGCCTTCCACCAATAATTCAAGTAACCAAATCACATATCCTTATATCTATTTATATTCATGGCTGCAAGAACTTAGGACCAACACAAATCATTCACATCGTGAAGCATTCCTAGTTCAAAAACTTGCATCTTCAAGTGTTTTATTTGCAACATTCTCTTCTCAAGTCTCAACATACACAACAATGGGTTTTCGTTTACCTAGCATCAGAAAGGCATCATTAGTAGCAAACCAAGTATCTTCAAAAGCTTTGGACGTGCCAAAGGGCTACCTTGCAGTCTATGTTGGAGAGAAAATGAAGCGTTTTGTGATCCCCACATCATACTTGAAGCAAACCTCATTTCAAGACTTGTTGAGTCTAGCTGAGGAAGAATTTGGGTCTAAACATCCAATGGGTGGTCTTACAATTCCTTGTGAAGAAGATGTGTTCTTAGATATCACCTCTCGCTTGAATAGGTGCTAACCCTGCAAAAATAAGACTGACATAGACATATTACCTGACACAATTTTTTTGTAACTCACTTTCTTGCATTTAAAAATTTTCTCTTTTTTGTTATCCTACTCTGGCAAGTGTAAAAATGTTCATACATATATGAAGTTTATTACCATTACCTTATTTCTCTTATGTCCCCCTCATTTGTCAATATGAAAATCAACACTCAATTTTCAGTTTAGAATGTTTATGATAAAATGAAAAATCCTTTTCTCGATCCAGAAAAGGGTGAAAGAAGTAAGCATTGTTTTATCTTATTAAACCGATTTCCCCTCCTTGTTGCAGAAAAAGAGAACGGTGCATCTAACTACATGATGAAAAAAGAATATGATAAAAGAACGTCAGTATAAAATTTGGATGAAAACTATGTTAATTTAAATCAAATAATTTTTAATGTACTAATTCAAGATAAAATCATATAACCAAATTCATTAACAAGATAATAGCCTTTTTTATTGATAGATAATTTTATTTTGTAGTTTTTTAAAAAAATATTGCATTTTATGATTTTATAAGAGAGACTTAGCATTATTAGTTTTTTCTTCATTCTTTTTTATTGTAGGAAGCCACATAATTTACCATGGTCCGTGTTGCTTTCATCTATTTCTGAGATCTATGTTGACCGTTCCTATCATGCAATAAATATCTGGTTGATGATATATGCACCTCCTTTTTTCTATAAATACATCTCCTTTTTTAAAAAAAATAATTAAAATTTTAAAATATTCTTAATTTTTTATTTTTTATTTTATGTCCACAATATTTAATTTAGTACTTTTTTTTATATATCTTTCTTCCTTTTTTCAATTTTTACATGTACCTCCTTACCTTTCTCTCACTATACCTATTTTGGTAGCATTTAAAAACTAAAAGAGAAAAAAAAATGTGTGAAAAAAAGAAAAAAATAACAAATAAAAAGTTGAAAATGTAAAATTTAAAAAAAAATTACAATATTTAATAATTTTTATAAAAAAAAATAAAGGAAGTATACTTATATCTACCGTCTGTTTCATTTGGATATAGGACTATTTTTGTTCCAAAAGGAAGAAAAAAATTGAATTGGATCGCATGGTGCATGAACTACCGAATGTTGATCCGGGATGCGTTCGCCATCTTTTACTTTTCACTATAACTTACTTCATGCGTGGTAGAATTAAATGAAAATAATAAAGTATTTATAATATGTTAATGTTAAATTAATACAAAATATAAGGTATTTTCAACTAAATAATTTTTTTTATAAATAAATTGTACCAACCTGGTCGAGTTAATAACTAACTCAGCCAAGACACAAAGCACCGAAATAACATTCAAATGACATGCTTAATAACAACGATGTCGGCACATCATATTGGTTAAAGTAAGGTCACGTTGTCTAAAGACCCAATCGAAAAAGATAGGTTTATATATCTAAATATTTTCTCAGTATCAAATATACTGATTTTTTTTATATAAAAATTATCTTTTGTCTCTATATTTTCGTTTTTACATTTTTTTATAATGATTGAGATATTTGATCTATTTGGATAGCCAAGATATATTCGATATTATATAATTGGTGTGCTTCTAAAAATAATAATATAATTTTATTGATTTTGTCTTTTATCCATAATTATTTATATAACTAGTTTTCAACATATATTATTTTAATAATTCAAATGGAGATTCACATGGAAATAATAAAGAAAAAGGAAAAGAGAAAGAAAACTATGAAGCTTAAACCAAGGAGGATTCCGATGAATTGTTACAATTGATAGTGGATGCTATAAAAAGATGATAGAATATTATGGAGAATTATTATTATTATTTATCTAGACATTATTATTATTTTTAATTATTTTTATCTTTGACTCTTTTTAAATTTGAATGTATGAATTTTTTTTTAAATCTTATCAAATGTCAAAACTCCACAAAATCCCACAGAATCCATTAAAATCCTGATTTAAAAGTCTTGTAGAATCCATTAAAATCCTGATTTTAAATCTTGTAGAATCCTGCAAAATCTTAAAAGTCATGAAAATCCTGCAAAGTCTTTTAAAATCCGCAAGATTCTTTTTCACTAAAAAAAGTCCTTTAAAATCCTAATCCAATACACCCCCTAAGTCTATCTATTTTATCTAGTCTTTTATTAACACTTTGTTTAAAGAAATATAAAATAAAGAAATAGATACAATGAGTAAAAGTAGATTTTAGGTGAACGTTCTGCTTAAAATAATAAAAATAAGAAAGGAAAGAAATAACTCATTTTCACTAATTTGGTTAAATTAAAAAAATAATGAAAGACAAATTTAGCTATTTATTTAATATTATAAAAAAAATCAAATTACTCCAAATCTTGCTATATTTTTTTCTACTCAATAACTAATTTACATCAACTTTTAACAATAAATTAAAAATCCTTAGTACATAGACCAAATTTATAAACTTTTAAAAGTTGAAAATATATTAAATACCTCATTTTATTAATTTAAATTGACAAATAATCATTAATATATAAAAATAAACAATTCAAATTTTGGGTTTCGACACAGTAAGCAGGAGGCAAATGAATGAACACAGCAGTTCAGGTTCCGCGTTTTGTCCCAACCGGACTCTACCATCCCCTTCTTGCTCCCATTTCCAAATCCCTCTTCTTTTTCTCCTCTCTCTGATCTAGCCCTTATGAACCACTTATAGTCATGAGTTCTGACTTCTGATATTAATTCCTATATATATATATATATATGCTAGTCTATCTTTTGACTCGACGCTTATAAGGACGAGCATATCCTCCCCATTTCACATTAGTTGGGGATGGGACGGATCCCATGAAAATATTTCCATTTCCCTTCCAATTTCAGCTCTAACCAAACACTTCAGTTCATTTCAATCCCACCCATTTCAATCTTTCCTAAATCAACCCAAACAAACAAACAAATGCTTAATAGGAAGAATATGATTTTGAAGTTCCATAAATAGCACAAGAAAATACAGTGACTGACTCGATCTAAGAATGAATTGAAAATTTCAAAATGCATAACCATTAAGCAAGCACATGTCACATGACAACAAAGACATAGCAGGCACCTTGCAATATAAACATGAAACTCAAAAGAAGATATGGTATTTATTAAAACAAAGCAAAATCTTGAACATTTTCATAGTGCACTAAACTCAATGCTTCAGGATGATCCAAAGCTTAAACCAGAAAAAATGGGAGAAAACATGGTACAGTTCCTTGTCATGAATTATTTCAGTATTCTACTCCGTCCATGGGATAGATAGCCCCACGGATCTTTCAATGCTTTCAGTGATGAGACTGAGACTGAGACTGAGACTTGGCGTGCGCTTTTTGATGAGACTTGGCTTTTGCCTGAAAGTAAGGAAAATATGACAGAGAATATAAAATTAATGCCAACAAAGCAAAAGACAAATAAGTTTTACAAACCGCACTAGAATCAAAAGATATAGATGTATAATTAAGCAAGGTAAAGCATCCTAAATTTCCTACATTATCAAGAATTAACAAGTGAAAAAATGGGAGGAGTTCAACACTATCAGAATATCAAAGTTAAAAACATAACAAATGGAACAGCACAACAATACATGCCATTGAATTAAACATGGATTACAAAATTGTATAACAAAATTCAGAATAAATTTAAACCATCAAGACTTCACTACATAACTTTTCATAAGCGTTTTCCCAGCACCAGGAGACCATTTAACACTGGTTCAAGATCATTTACAAAACTATCAGTAAAACCACTCAAGCAATTGACAAGGCAAAATGGCTTAATTCAAGCTACGCCTGAAGATCTAGCCTGAAAGTAGAATCAGACGAGATCTGCAAGCTGAGACTTTGATTAACAAAACTAATAACAATAAATCTGTGTTGTTCATGCAACGAGTAAAATCCCTTAAACATATGCCACACGCATTGACAAAAACAAATCACAAAAAAAAAAAATGAAAATAGCAAAAGCAAATCAATCTGGTTGTAGGCTAAACAGGGAAACCCCAGAATTTTATTTTTTTTTAAAATGCCAAAATCATTTCAACGATCAAATTATAGTCAGAG